AAAAAAAAAAAAAAAAAAAAAAAAAATAGAGGCACTGACATCTACCTTGAATATACTGTGTGAGTAATAAATTGAGGTGGCTTTTACTTTTTCAATATGGAACTTACGTGATGACACTTCTGTGTAACAGCACAAATTTATTGCCACAGTTGTATTGTCTGTGCATAAACCAAGAATTTCTTTTGGATTTAATTTGAAATAAAATTTCATTTACAAAGATAGACTTGGAGTGGTGCAAACATGTGAAAGCGTGTGGCTATCTGGGACTCCTGCTTCCATCTGTCCAACGTGGCATGGGGCTGGCCCTCTCCTCCAGGTCCTTCCTGGCGGCTGCTGCTGCTCAGAGCGCTCTCCTGGCTGCCCAAAAGCAGCAGGTCTCAGCAAGTGAAATGCGTGCTTGCTCCAAAACATGAAGGCCACCAACTGAGTTATAACCACACTCTTCCTTAACACATCAACCAAGATCCCCCCACATAGGTAGACACTTAAGTCACTAACCAGGCAGGAGGGGCCAGTCTGCCTGAGTGGTAACAGGTTTTGCAGCAAGGCTGAATGAGGCAGAAACCTGGGAATGTTAAGCTGCTCTCATTACATGATCTTTACTATTCCTACAGGTTTAGCTGAACTAATGCTTCCAAGATACCGAGATGAGAGAGACTATGGCAGAGTTAAATTTCTAGTAGTTGTTGTTTTTTTTTTTTTTTACACTAATTAAAACCCAGTGAGGGCAGTTTATATGCAAGGGGAAATGTGTTGGGGTTGGATAGCTTTGTCTGTGACCTCCAAGCTTTCCCATGTGGAAACAGACACTCCTCACCAGGGTGCAGGGCACACTCGGTGCTGGAGAACGAGCTTCGAGGAAAAGAGGAAAGCAGCCCTCTCACTTTACAAACTCACAGCTACTGCACTCACAAACTCTGGACGGACGCATCTCTGACTTTGTTTTCTTCCATGCCAGGATGTAAAGTTCCAAGTTTCACTGTGAGCTCGGCATGAACAAGCTTTACTCATCTGGCCAGCCTAACTGTCCCTTCCCCATGCTAAAGGAAGGAAGACACGCTGAGCTCGTGAGCTGTGGGCGCAGGGTAGAGGAGAGGCTGAGAGTCACGCAAGGAAGAAAACCTAGAGGACAACTGACCTTTGCATAGCACAAAGAGAAAGCAGCACTGTCTTCACAGCAGAAAATCCAGCATTGGTGGTGACATTCCAACATAGGCATACTTATTTCCTTAGCTAGGAAACAAAAAACTACCCCATTACAGGGATGAACAAGAGATGAAAAACAAAAAATCGCAGGCAGGCTGCCCTGGCCCAAAGATGTGAGAACTGGCTCCAGGGGCAAATGAGGACAGTGCCAGTTAACTGCTTGTGTCTCCTATGGCCCACACAGCATCCATGTGCTTCCTCCCTTCAGTGAGGTAGATGATCCTCTTGCTAGAGGTATCAGGTGCCAGCCCACAGTGCAAAGGACAGGACAATGATCTGCCTGGCTAAAAGGCACAAGCTATTTCAGAGGCTGCATCACACACAGGCTTCTCTGAGGAGCTGTAGCCCAGGGAGAGATTCTTCCCTGAGGGCTGGACAACAAACAATGCAGGCCTTGTTTTGAGAGACAATTTAAAATCAGCCTGTCACTTTAACACAGTTCCACAGGGAAGCTCACCCTGTTAGGTACACTTCCTGCCACCATGGGACTCTGAACAGGGGATGGATGGGAAGACAAGAAAGCCTGCAAGTTTAAAAGCAGGTCAAGTTCAAAAGTATTATCAAGAAGATAAGAAATGCGAGGCAAAGGTTTGGTGAGGAGGAACTGTCAGGGAAAGGGAAGCTCACGGTGATGCTCCTCAAGTGAGATGGGGAGAAGCTGGCAACAGTGCCTGGCGTTACTTCCCATGCAAGTCACTCAGCTCCACATCATCCTTTCGGCGCTTGTGTGTAAAGAGGGAGGCAATAGGGTAGAGCTTGGCCTTGGCCTGGAACCGGCAGCCTGCAATGTCAATCTCATATTCTCCCCTGTTGATGAAATCTACTGTGACCACCTGCTCCTCCCCAGTGTCCTCTGAAAAGTTGTGCACAAAGCCCAGGCACACGTGGCGCTCCAGGCTATAGCTGTAGGCACTGCTGGTGGTCTGGCCTGCATACCGGCCATTCCGGTAAATAGGCTCCCCCCACCATGGCCAGAGGTCCAGGTCAGTGTCATGGTCCTCCAGGATGAACATGGTGAAGCGCTTGTACACCCCATTCTGCTTCTGCTGCAGCAGTGCATCCTGGCCCATGAAGTCCATGCCCTAGAGAGAGAAGTGATTGAGACAGCACCCCGGGGGGGGGGGGGTCTCCCTACAGTCTTACCACTGGCTTCTCGGAAACGGCCTTTACCCCTTGTGAGAGCAGCACACACTATTTTTCTTTAGAAAAAGAAAACTTTAGCTCAGGGCTTAGCCCAACCAGGGCCTTTGCACTGAGCTCTCCCTTACCCTTTTTATATTTTGAGACCAAGGTCTTGCTCAGTTGCCAGGCTGGGCTTGAACTTTGGATTCTGCAGTCTGAGCCTCCCAGAGTACAGCCTATACTACCAGTCTGGCTTTTTTCCTAATTCTTTTCCCTATTTTTATAAATTTTATTAACATTCCAATCACAAGACTACACAAAGTAATATTTAGAAAGGAAAGTCACACAAAAATATTTGCTAAAATTTAAAAATTTTAAATTTTTAAATTTAACAAGCGGCCGCTATGTTACTTTATATCCTGACACCCGCCTCCTCTTTTTTTTAAGATGGAGTCTATGTTGGCCTCGCTGACCTCAAATCCCTGGGCTCAAGTGGGTTTCCTGCATCAGCCTTCCTAGTAATTGGACCATGGATACACACCTCCACACCCAATGTTATCCCAGCCCAAAGCCCATGCAGGTCTGTATCAGTATGTACATAGTTATAAATGCCTGTGTATAAGAGGTAAGTAAACATTGATTGCCTGGCTCACTATAACATGGGCCACCTTGTAGCTTTTTCTATTTTTCCTACTTTCCAAAATGAATTATGTAATAGCACAGAAAAATCGTTATATGTGGTGGCTCAAGCAGAGCACTGCAGGAAAGACGTTGTGCTGATCCCACAGCAGCCGGTCACTAAGAGTGGCAGGGAGAACACAGTGTACTGCCAGTTGTGGCCAGAGCCTGGGTGAGCCTCAGGAATGGACTGACTCGTCTTCCACACAGCCTTCTGTGCAGCTATGCATCTCTAAAGTGTTCATCTACTTAAAAAAAATAAAACAGTTGATTGTAAGATAACTAGTAAAAACCCACGTTATGTTACTAAACCAAAATCAACTTAAAACCTCTGGCCAAGTGTTGCTCCTCCAGAGGACAAGGTGGTATGCTGTCGTTCATCACAGTGGACACTGCCCTTCCGAGGGTGCCAACCAGCCAAGCATTTTCACCCACTACCTGCCACTTCACTCTCCTGTTCTAGTGCCAATCTCGACTCTCGGCATGAAGCTGCTGAACACAGTACCTTATCCAGCTTCACCCGAGACTCTCGTCCACACTCCAGCGGCGTGGTGAGCGTGTTTAAATCCTGGCCCCAGAAGGCAAAAAACTTCTCAATTCGGAGGCTGCGGAGGGCGTAATACCCAGAATTCCGGATTCCATACTTCTGCCCAACATTCATCACTTCATTGTACACATGGAGAGCATACTGAGGAAGGAATGGGGGAGGGAAAGAAGAGAAGGGAGCTCAGTGCCCTGCAGCCTCCAGAGCAAGCACAAAACAGGCTGGAAGTGGAGGCTTGAATGCTATTATGTGGACAGAACAGGAGTCACACAAAACTCCAGGGCACCTCATCCTTGGGCCGTGGCCTACAGCTAGCAGTAATGAGCTGGGGTCTCCTCAGCTGGGCATCAGGCTCCACCAAAGTGGGATCCTTACCTTTCACTTCCCTAAGGTGATTTCAGTATACGGCCATTATCACACAACTCAACTTTCTAGAAGAACCCACTCAGATGACTTCCAGGCTTCACCCAGTTCTGACTTTGTTTTGTTCCAATCCTGAGCCTGTGCTAGTGCCGCACACACGGGCTCAAGCTGCAAAATCCCAAGCTCTCACATGTAACCATAGATATGGACACACATCGCACCTGATCTTTCACACATATGAAACCACATCTTAGAAGGAATAACCATGATTACTGTTCGTATATGATGAAGCTAAACCCTAGAACTCCCAGGCTTACCTAAAAATAAAGACTATAGACAATATAATTGCATAAGGAAATAGGCTACTATTAGTCAATATTTCAGAACAAAGACACCTTTCCTCATTCGTGGCAACAGAATATTAATGGAATAAATTTTAATGACTTCAAAATACCTCTGAAAGTCACCAAAGAACTTGAAAAATACAAAACACAGCATATGTTTGACTAAGATCCAATACACATCTTAGGACTGTCATTTTTAGCTGAGCATGGTAGTAAACATCTATAAACCCAGCACTGTGGGAGGCTGAGGAATGAGGACCCAGGTAAATCAGAACCTGTCTCAAATAAAAAATGGCTGGGTATAGAGTTCATTTTGAAGACCCTGGGTTCAATTCTAGAACCACATACACAAAACACAACACAATTCAAAGAGTAACCTGAGGGCCGGCCAGATAGCTCAGCAGACTAAAGTGCCTGCTTAGGCAAAGCATAGGGACTAAAGGGCAGGGAGATGGCTCAGTGGAATAAGTGCTTCCCTGGCAAGTGCAAGGGCCTGAGTTCAATCCCCAGTTCTGGAAAAAAAAAAAAAAAAAAAAAGCACAGGGACTGGAGTTTGATCCCCTGTGCACCAGGGCACACTGAGACATCACTGAGACTGGGCGTGGTGGCACATGCTTGTAATCCCAGTGCTTAGGAGGCTGAAAGCAAGAGGATCTAGTCTGATCTGTGTACTGAGGCGCTGTAGACTCTGTACTAATATAAAAAAACTACCTGCCCAGGCTGACCTTGATAGTGTTGCCTCAGCCTCCCTAGTGGCTGAGGTCACAGAGAAACACCATCACACCCAACTTTCTACTTTTTCATTGTAAAAGTTCATGAGAGAAAACAAACAGGAATTGTTCTTTTCCAGAATTTTCCAACATAATGTAGGATAAGCTCTAAAAAAATTGAAACACAGACTCAGACAGACTCAGAAACACAGTGGCTCTGAGCCAGGCAAGTGGTACATTTACTGAGCATTTTGTAAGTACCAAACACTTAGATGGTAGGGATATAAATGTTTTTTTTACATTTTATTTATTTATTTATTTTTGTGTGTGTGTGGCCAGCTCAGCCCACCAGGGGGCGGGGCTGGCTGGCATGTGGTGCTGGGGGATTGAACCGTGGTCCCTGTGCTTTGCTAAGCTTGTTCTAAGTAGGTGCTTTAGACCACTGAGCCATCTCACCAGCCCGAGGGATATAAATGTTAATAGTACAAAGGGACTGATGAACAAAATAAGTATAATGTATTTTCCTAGACAGTGGTAAGTGCTACAGAAAAAAAATGAAAAAGAGAGCCAGGTGTATATACCCATCATTCTAGCTACTTGGGAGGCTGAGGCAGGAAGATCGTAAGTTCCAGACCAGCCTGCACAATTCAATAAGACCCTGCTTTAAAAGGTGTGGGGATGTAGCTCAGTGGCAGAGTGCCCTGGGCTTCAATCCCTAATATCACAAAAAACGAAAGTGGGAAGGTACCCAGGAAGTAGAGTTGCTACAACTTGCTATAATGCGATCTCAGCAGAAGTTGATATGCAAGAAAGACCCAAAGGAGGGGGCCCTTAGGAGTGTCTGCCTGGGGAAGGACAGGCCAAAGGCGAGCAAAGAATTCAGTGGAAGATAAAAGGCCATTTAGCATGTCTCAAGACAAGCAGAAGGCAAAAAGCATAAAGGTGGACAACAAGTACGTGGAATGCATCAGGCCCCAGCTGGCGTGGACTTGGCTATGGAAGGCTCTGAAGAGTTGCTTAGCCCCACTCAAAAGTTAAAAACTGTTTCACAACGGGCCAGGGAGATAGCTCAGTGGAATAAGTGCTTGCCTGGCAAGTACAAGGTCTTGAGTTCGATCCCTGGTACCACCAAACAAAATGAAACCTGTTTCACGACCAACACACCAGCAAAAGCCTCAAGTCTGACAACTGTGGGTTCATGCAATAAAGACAACAGTTTCCACACCACAGAATGTTTTTATAATAGCCAAGGACTAGAAACACCAACACATCTACTGGTGCAAGACTTGGTGAGTATATTATGATTACACCCTAAGATATAGTTCTGTAAGAAATAAGGGCTAGGAAATAGCTCAGCAACAGAGCACAGAGCATTTATCTAGCCAGAAGTGAGGCCCTGAATTAAATCTTCAGCATCAGAGAGGAAAAAAAGGGGCAGCTCCTGCTCCTGAGGTACAGACATGGAAAGGTTTCTATGGTGCTGTTGAATGGCAAAACCAACATGAAGGACAGGCGCTTCTATTTGAGTCTGTACCAGAAGGCTAACAACTCCCTTTGTGTATGCTTGCATATACGTAACAATGTCCCTGACAATATAAAAACAAATATGGGCAGCTTGTCATATGGCACTGACTAGTTTGATGATTTTATAAAATCTCTTGCATACAGTCTACTTTGATTCCCAAGGCCCAGCCACACCTTGCTATCCGAAGCTGCCTGTGCGAAGGAGCTCTGTAAAGAGCAGCCCTTCCCGGGTCCGGCAAGGACCACAGGCGCCTCACCTCGATGGGGATGTACAGCATGAAGCCCGGCTCTCCCGTGTGGGTCATGCTCATCACCCGGATCCCATTCGCGTAGCCCACGCTCATCTCCTGCAGAGACAAAGATAGCAGTGAGTGTAAACAGGCACTCGCACCTGTCAGGGGAAGGACGCCAGGGACTCCTGAATTTACATTGCACCCTGTCCTTCTCCAAGGAGATGTGCCTGAAGGCAGGCTTCTCACCCTGACAACATCCTTTCCCTGGACACCACTGTGTCTGGAGCACTAGTCTTGCTGGCATTGGCAAGGGTGGCTGTCTTTGATTAGCATGAACTATTTATCTTCCCCAAGTCCTGTTCAAGACTTAGATTGGCCCAGAGTCTTCTCTGGGGAACTCTCCAGGTGAATCCTTGGCACCTGCCATACAAAAGGCGATGCCTGGTGCCCATTGAACACAGCTTGTATTACCCAACTCCTCATTTTCAAAGCAGCTCAAGTACTTAGCAGGGCCTGGCCTGCAAGGCGAAGAGGTAAGTATTGGGCTGCTTAGAAGCAGACGGTTGCCGTGGGAAGCCAGGATGGCAGCACACGTGCCAGGGCAAGCAGGTGGAAGGAACTCTGAGGGGTCTGCTCACAGCTAACGTGGGGTTTTCTGTTGCTTACTTCCTGCCTCAGAGAAGAGGAGAAACTAGAAATAACTTGTAGGTGTGTCCTAAGTCTGGTTTGAACTTCAGAGTCTCTGTAGTAACTCCCACAGTTGAGTGTCCCTGGGCCCTGAGAGTCCACTGGGCCCTTGGTTATCCACTGTTACTGTTGTCATTGCCTTTACTCTGTTGCAATCTAAAAGGAAAGAGAATATGTATGTTGCTTCAGGTGCTAGTATGTGCATATGTGCAGAAGTGACTGAAAAGGAGGAAGCAAGGAAGAAAAACCTGCTCCGCAGTGGCAGCGCACTGCAACAGGCCATAAGCAGAAATGTGACACTCAGAAAGGCGAGCTCACTTCAAAGATTCCCTCCTTACTAAGGAGAGCCTCAAAGGTGAAAAACGTCATTTTTTTTTGCTTAATAAAAGTCAACACTTTGGGGCCGAGGAGATGGCTCAGTAGAATAAATGCTTCCCTGGCAAGCGCAGAGGCCTGAGTTCAGTCCCCGGTTCCAGTAAAAAAAAAAAAAAGTCAACACTTTGTTGGAGTAACAGTAAGAATATGCATCTGCCACCACTGTAAAAAACAAAAAACAAAACAACTGTTCACTTAAAGATAACTTTACCAGCACCCACCTTGCAAAACAGAGTTGGGAAATGGTCTGGAGTCATAGGGGCATAGGACAGTTCAGAGAGCACATCCACAGCCCGCGGGCCAATCAGGTTGAGGGCTGCATGGGAAAAAGGAGCCATATCAGCTGGGCCAGTGGGAAAGGCTGGTTTGGCACACTGATAGCCAGGTCTGAGTGTCAGGACCAAAGGAGTGACACTTCATTTTGGCAAGGCCAGGGGAGACGCCCAACACCCTGATTCTGGCCCAGAGGCATCTGCTGACAGCACTCCTGGATGTGGCTGCTGATTGGGCTCCCCTGGTTTACAAGATGACTGACTGCAGTGAGATGGGTCGGGAGGCCGAGCCCTAGCCAGTGTGACCCCTTCAGGGCTGCCCATGCCTCCCAGTCAGCCCTCCCACCCAGATCCTTTTTCTCATCCTCTCCCCAGAGTGTCTGGAAAAAGCCCCCATTCCAAGTCAGTACCTGGAGACAGCTGTCCACCCACTTGGATCTCTAACGTCTGTGACAGCAGCATATGCTAATTAACAGGTCAGCCTCCATAACCCTGAACATCACTTTAGGTAAGTTCTGCAGTTTGCCAACCTGGTAGCAAGGAGCAAGTCCTATTTGATACTAGTGACAAGAGTGAGGCCTGGGGACATCAACACTGGCAGGGGGCAGGGTGGGAGAAGAGGAAGGTGCCACTCCCGAGCTAGGACTGCTAAGAAAGAGAGAAGCAGGAGATTAACTCATCCTTAAAAATTATGAACTCAAATTCAATGTGATGGTGCACGCCTAAAATCCTAGCTCTTAGGAGGCTGAGGCAGGAGGATTGTTGTGAGAGCAACACTAGTCCGAACTATACAGTGAGACCCTGTCTCCAATAAAACAAAAGTTATATATTCGTTGAAAATAAAAGGTAAGAGTAATAATTCTTTAAATTCTTTACTCATTCATCCAACAAACACTGGCACTCCTACATGTTAGAAAGGGCTGGGAATGTAGCTGAGCAGCACAAGCACCTGCCTGGCAAGTGCAAGGTTCCAAGTTCAATCCCCAGTTACTACACACAGAAAAAAAACTACATGCTAGCTATAAAGGGTAGCAATAAACAAAATAAACACAAACCACAGCACTCATGTTACACTTCCCTTATAATAAAGTGGGGGTTGCTAGAGGTCCACTATCTGTGACCACAGCCCTCTCTGTCCCTCACCCTGACTGTCCCAACATACCTCTATCCCTGCTTCCACTCCACCTGCAGCCTGAAGGCTCTTACCTGTGTATTTCCAAGTGACATCCTCCAGCACCAGGCTGCTGTCCTCAGGCATGTGCTTCCTGAGCCAGGCCCAGCAGTGGACCTGCTGGTCGGTTGGAGAGATCATGAAGAAGCTGAAAGGGAAACACTGAGAAAGTCAAACCAGAGCATAGAGGGTCAGCAAACAAGTTCTCACCTAGCCTCAGAGCTCCTCCAAGAATACTGCAGAATGATCTCTTACATAGTGAAAAACAAAATTCTAACTTCCTGCTAGTGCCAAGAAAGACTAACATGAAGAAGGGCACCTCTCCAGGAGAGTGACTTCTACACTGGCTCTGACATGATTTTCTGGGTCCTGGTTTTTCAGGCCCTGGGATAAGCAGGTTTCCTGGAGAAGCGTGGAGAGGCCCTGTTACCCTTACAGAACCCTGTGGGAGTGATGTGACCTCACCTGCGCTTGCTCAGGCGTGCAATGCTGCAGTCATTCTCGTAGCCCCCGGTCTCGTTGAGCATGCCTGTGTGCACAATGTGGCCCACAGGCACATCCAGGTCGTTGGAGAAGAGGAACTGCAGAACATCTAGCGCCTGGTCCCCGGTAGACTGAAGGGAGGAAACGAAGCAGGAGCAGTGAGCACAAAAGCACGTGGTCAGCCACACAGCCAACAGTCGAATCTCTGAGGAAATCCAATGCGCCAGCACCCATGTGACAGGAACTGCAGATATAGTCAATGGTAAAAAGCTCTGGGGAAAGCTACTATTGAGTCTTACGGTCAGTGGGCCTCTCTAGGCAAATTAAAACCCAGACAAAAGGAGCTAAAAATGCAGAAAAATGTAGTATACAAACGAAACCTGAAAGATAGCAAAGTTCTTACAGAATCAGTTTTGAAGTAACAGATGAAATAAAGGTGGGATTCAGTAAATACAGTTTTCCTGTCATTATTTGGATTCCTGAACACTTACTGTTATCTCAAACTTTGTGAAAGAGGACATGTCGATCACACACACCGCCTCCTTACAGCACTTGACTTCAGCCTCTACAATGTCAAACCAGTCTGGCTTGTAGAAAGTCTTGCTCTGCTCCAATGCAAGGAGGTCTACAGGAAAAAAACAGAAGGTGCAAAGGAAAGGAGGGACATGACCATTTGGTGTGCTCTTTCACAGACCTTGGTTTTCAAATAAAATATATTAAAACCTCCAAAAAAAAAGGAAAGGAGGGACTATACATTTTGTAGGATTACATCCAGCTACATCCACTTACAATATTCAGTCCAAGAAAAAATGAACAAAAACAATACTACTTACCCTTGTCAGGTGGAACAAAGTACTTTGGCCTTTCAAATCCATGTTTCTCCATCCATCTGGCCCCTTGAGCATCCAGCCGGTCATACAGAGGAGAAGTACGCAGCTGCCTGCCAGTTTGGAAGTCCCAACGAGGAACCTTAAGGTCATATATTAAAGCTAGAACAGACAAGAACAGTCTCTCTCAGTCCCAAGTCACACAGTCAGAGCTGAGTACCCAGTATCCACCAGAACCCGGAGTCGCTTCTATTCATGACAACGTAATTTGTAGGCTGATACAGCCTGATTAGTCAAATATTACCCAGCACAACAGGCAAGCTCCAGAAGGACAATACTATTGAACTGGCATTATCCCCATGTAAAGCTATCCAGGCAGCGACTCGTGCTCTCTAGTGACAATTATACTTCCAAAGTAGTACACAGAAAGGATGGAGGGAGGCCAAGGGGAGACCTTGCTCAACTCCACAGCAGAGATGAAGGCAGCATCTAAGTGAGACACAGGTGATGAGGAAGTGTGAAAAAAAATGGCACTTGATTCTTTGCCTGTGTTGTTGGGATCTCAGACCTATCACAGGCATTTCCTCCTTTCTTAATATTTAACCCATTTCTGAAGTGAAAGGGTACATAGCATACCTTGATTTGGTGGCTCTGAAATCTGAGAGGTTGCAATGTATTGTCCCAGTGACATTATTCACATAACAAAGCTAGGGTCAGAATTCATTTCTCTTAATGTCCAATCTGCAACAGCAATAAGTAAAAAGAGCCAGAAAGAATATGATCTCTCATCTCTTCCGAAGACCTGACTCAGTCCACGCCAAAGGTACATTGGGGTGGGGAAGGTTGGGAGATTGAGGAAGAAGAAGCCACATCAAATTTCTGGGTTTTTGTTTTTGGTACCGGGAATCAAACTCAGGACCTCGTGCTTGCCAGGCAGGCACTGTACCACTGAGCTATATCCCTGGCCCAGTTACTTTTTTGGTTTTGGTGACTCTGTGCTGCCTATGCAGACACTGTGCCACAGTATATCCCTGACAAATTTCTTACGTTGTGACAACGTGTCAACTTCTGGTACTTTTAAGATTTTATTTTCATTTTTTGTCCTATGATGCTTATAAATTCTGATAATCACAGAGGGCTATCAAAAGTGTCACTTCACCAAAGAGAAACTCATGAAATGCAATTATAATTTGTATAGGTGCTACAGTAACAGTAGGTGGGGAAATCTAGAATTATAATAGTTGAAAATTTTAGCTAAGGATTTGCTAAAATTAAATTTAGTAGTTAGATACACTACTGCTAGCTGTCCTCTTCCATGGACCGAAGTTGTATGCCATAAAGCAAAGCAAACATTCAGGGGTTAAAGGCCCTACCATGGATATTGACCAGCTACTAAGACAAAAATGCATTTATAACCAAGAAGGGTAGGGGGCACAGCCAATATGGACACTTAACTCTTGGACATAAACATACCCTAAATATTTATAAATTATTTGGCAAGATCTGAGAGTAGTGCTCAGCATAGGAAAATGTAGTTTAATTTCTGATAGAAAAGCTGTCTCTCAGGGGCTGGAGAGATGGCTCAGTGGTCTAAAGCACCTACTTAGAACAAGCTTAGCAAAAGCATCAGGGACCGCGGTTCAATCCCCCAGCACCACATGC